AAAAAAAAAAAAAAAAGGCCTCGCTCATCGTGATACAGGTCCCACTAGCCTGGTCAGCAGGCGGGGGAGAAACAGAGAGGGTGACAGCCTCGTTTCCTGAGTCAGGCACAATCGGAAGTGAGCCCAAACCCCAACCTTCTTGGGATGTGCAACAAACCAGGGTTTCACTGCTCTGTGGCAGCTCCCTGGATCACTCCCGTGGGGTCTGGCTGTTTTTTGGAATTCTCTGAGACAAGCAAAGCCACACAGCACTGGGACAAAGCATTTTCACCAAACTACCCTCAGGAGAGTAACACCGTTTGAAGACTAGGATGAGAAATTTGTAGGATCGGGATTCACTCTACTCATGGAGGGAGAGCGGAAAGAAGAAGAAATGAACTTTTCTCAAAGAATGACAATGGATTCCGGCACATTTATGAAGGCTCCTCAAACCGAATTCAGCAAGGCCTTCTGGGTGTCTGAGGCAGGAAGCCGTGGCCTGAAGAGGTTTATCATGCAGCAGGTAGGAGATCAAAGATACTGAAGGCATCTTGGCAAACGTCAGCCTGCCGGAGCGCTCACGCGAAACCAGATTTGCACAGGCCCGCCTTCCCACACGTCCCAGGAAAGCGGTAACACACGCCTGCCATCTACCGACCCTCCTCGGTGCCTGACCGGAAGTTACAGGCGTGTGGGCTGGAGAGTGTTTCTGGGTTGTCTGCAAGAGTGGAAGAGATGCTCCCATGACTCTCTCATGGGAGGTCCCCAGGGGTGCTGAAGGTGCCCGGGAGCAAGCTGACTGGCACCCAGTAGTTAACGAAGCTTGCCCGGTCGTGCACTCATCGGGGGGCAGATGTGAACGCTTCTTAGGGACACGGGGTTTGAAGCAGGATAAAGTCAGTTTTTATTTTACAAATTAGTCTGGAATCTGAAGGACAGAACAATGCCCAAACCCTTTAGGCACATCACACTGCTCGACACCCTCCTCCAAATTAGTACGGTGCGTATTAGAACAGGGAAACCAGGGCACGAGGGTAAGCTGCCATGGGCCTCTGCCTCCTCACCCAGACTAGTGGAGGTGGTCATAATTACCTCGTAAGCTTGCTGTGAGCAATAAATTATACCGGAAATAACTCCCTAGCCCTCAACAGTGTAATCCAACAGACATCTCAGAAAGCAGCCACTCACACTCTGGGAAACTGAGGCAAATAAGAAAGCACCCACCTTCTGAAAATGTATGGTACAGACTTTTCCTCTATAAGTACAACTCTTGTGCCCAAATCCCTCGTGACCCTCTTGTGTAAGGGGTGCTGGCCCCTTCCTTCCCCCAAACTGTAACCCTGCCACCTAAATGGGCCAGGAACAAAAAAGGCCAATGTTGTTTCCTTTAAAACACACTCGTCCGTTCCTTTTTCCTTAGGGATGCCGAGTAGACACTCAACACAGCAGATGGTTCTGTGGTCACTCTGTCACGTGTGCCACAAAAGAAGAAAGACGTACGGAAGCAGGAAGACTAATTCTGTGGTGGGAAAGGCAAAACGATTTCAAAAACCAAAGTTTCCAGGGTTTTGCCAAAGACCTCATCACATTAGCCGTGCAGCATGTCTAACATCACCCAAACCACGGAAGCCTGGATGACAGAATCGTCCTTTTTTATAGTTAAGTGAGGGGATTTCAGGCTTGAGGGCCAAGCCAGTATAATCTCTGTGTTTACAGGAGCCCATGAGGAGAGCGGGGCCGCCCTCAGCGTCAGGTCCTACACTGGACACCAGCAAGCAGACAATTATGAGTGGAAAGAAGAAGGTGTGGATGTCACTTGAAAGGAAGGCGTTTCTCCTCGACAATCAATTCTCTGAAATGGGATTGATGCCCCAGCAGCCAGTCTAATTTCTCTGTGGAGCAAAATCTGAGAAACAAACTTACGTGAAATAAGGTCAAAACACTTTTTCTCCTCGGGGTTGGTCTTCACTTGACAGGTTAACAGGTTGAGCTTCGCGGGAGGCCGGTTAGCCTGTTTAGAAACAAAGGAATGGAGATGGGTGGGAAGGAGGACAAAATCATACGGCACCATTTCTCACTAAAATATAGCAAGAACAGGATTTCCACCAGTTTGCAAAAAGATTGCTTTCGGAAGGCAGATTTTGTGTAGGAAGACACAACACAGGCACGACACAGGGTGTCCTTGAATCTCAGCTCCCCAGAGGGCAAGCTGCCATTCCCTGGGAGGGACACTTGGTGGCCCACACACCCACCCGGCCAGGGGGACAAGGGCTGCTGGCTTTGAGGTCGACAGCACTGGGCTTCCTGAGAGCAAAATGCTCCACGGCTAAAGCTCCGAGACATTCCTACCGATGACACAGATGGTTGGCTGGGTGACTGGGGCACCAGCTCTATTTCTGGTGAGCTTAAAAGTGTTTCCCTGAGTGTAAACACTTGCTTCTAAGGAAAGAAATCTCACAGCACAAAAATGACAGAGAAATAATTTTCCCTACTTTTTGAAGTCACGACAGGTAATAGATAAACAACGTTAAATGCTAAACATCTGTCACTTACGTTTCAACAAAACCCAACTCATTCATATAAATACCCTGAATCTCGCCAACACAGTGGCAACAAAAGATCACAATTTGTTTCTGGCAGACAGGTCTCAAAATGGGTATTTTACTACCGTTTCAAAAACTACCATAGGTAGTCCAAAAACAAGCAAAGATCAAAGGATAACATAATTTTAGGGGGAAAAAAAAAGAACCTGTGACTATTCAAATGGCAAAATGTCTCTCAGAAACCTTGGAGAACTCTCCAAATATGAATGGGCTTATCCTACCCACCTCCCAAGCTGCTGAGGGAAAGACTGAATAGAATACCGTATACGTGAACCTCTTGTTCAACCTCCTGTGGCTGCCGGCTGCATTTACAAGTTGTAAAGGCTTGGATCTGGGATTCATCGAAAAAACACACATACGTGCATCCACACCTGGGTAGTCCCGTGAGACCTTCATTCATTTACAGACCCCTTTCCACTCAACTCACAGAGTCAGTGGTAGAGGCAGCATAATCCCTGTTAAAACAGGACGGATCCTTACAGTGCAAACAGTTTGGGTTTGATACAAGGAAGGCGGGATGAGAAGGTGGGTAAACAGGGTGGACCAGACTCTCCTGGCTTGTGGGATGTCGGCCTCATCTCTTATACGAAAGTCACTGGATGGTCTCCACCATAGACGCCTAACAGAATCCTTGGATCATCAGAAATCAGCATTTGTTTCAAGTTATTTATTTATTTATTTTGAGAGGGGGGGGGAAGGAGGGGCAGAGAGAGAAGGAGGCAGAGAATCCCAAGCAGGCTCCCGGCTAACAGTGCGACTTGGGGCTCAAACTCATGAACCATGAGATCATGACCCGAGCTAAAACCAAGAGTTTGACGTTTAACTGACCGAGCCACCCAGGTGCCCCAGAAATCGGTATTAAAAGACTGCAAGTTCTGTCTAATCTTGCGAACCTTGACAATTCCAAGTGGAAGTACCATCAATCCAATTTTGGATCTTTGCCAATAGAATCACCTGGCTCACCCGGGAACCAACACACCGAATGATGTATTTCTGCAGCACCAAGTAGGAGACCACACCACGACGCGACCACGTATTTTACCACATAAAGTCTGCGTCTGTACCATTACCTCCTGTGATGACACAACCATATATATGTGCATTTAGGGGACATTCCTGGCCTACTTCCAAACTGTGGCTGTCCGCAGGGTCTTAGACACAGGAACAGTAAGAGGGGTTGGTGAACTCTGGTAAATACAGAAACGTTTCACGCACAAGTGTTCTAAGTATGTTTAGTAAATCAGCTCATTTAATTCTTCTAACTGACCTTTGAGGCAGGAACCGCTCCAGCTTTACAGATAAAGGTACTGGCCCACACACGCTAATTAATGTGATGGACCTTCTTTTCTACAGCTTGGGAGGCAGTGAGGCCCCATGTGAGCCCGCCAGCCTGGCCTCGGAGCACAAGCTCTTAACTCCTGCTCCCGCCTGCCCTCTGCATGGCTTTCTGTGGGAAGCAGTCACTGACCTGGACGTATCAGTGCGTATCTCCCGGTGCAGCAAAGCAGCACAACCGAATTAATACCAGCCCTGCCTGGGCCCCTCTCGCTTATATTCTTTCATTTTCCCTGCACCACGGGGAAAGCTGTCCCTTCTCACTGAGACAGCTACCATCAAAGACAGACTTCATCCTTCACGGCGTACGAACACCACAAAACATGGGAAAATATTCGGTGCCTACATATGAAGTCGGAGTAATTATAAAGGCACAGAGGTGGCTACGTGTTAAAAAGAACAGCGGTAAGAGGAGGTCCACAAAATTTAGAACAGCCGATACCGCTTAAGAGGGTCAGCTTGCATGTTTTACATTAATCGTTGTTTGCTATTTGTCCAGCCAGATTACCAGAGCTGTAAGAAAAATCTATGGGAGAATATTTTTAAACGGAGAAAACTCTACCCATTAAATTCCCTCTCCTGCTGCTATTTGGGGAAAATGGTGTCACCATTTAATTCAGCTACAGAATGGTTCCAATTCATCAGATACCAGCGCTCTCCAAGGAGTGGGAAACAGAGACCCCTAGACTGCATGGATTAGTAAATATGACTGAAGGTGTGGATTATTAGAGTTCCTATCATTTTAATCATGCCATTCTATTTTTTTCCCAATTTGTCAGGCTTTTAAAGTTTGTGGGATTTTTTTAACATTCATTCATTTTTGAGAGACAGAGCATGAGCAGGGGAGGGACAGAGAGAGAAGTAGACACAGAATGGGAAGCAGGCTCCAGGCTCCGAGCGGTCAGCACAGAGCCTGATGCGAGGCTCAGACCCACGAACTGTGAGATCATGACCTGAGCCCAAGTCACTTAACCAAATGAGCCAGCCAGGGCCCTTAATAGGTAGTCTGGACTCTTCATGACTAACGATCATTTAAAAAAGAAATTTAGACTGCAGAAGAACCAGTGGACATTTCTTGCAGCTTAAACAGTCCCCAGTCCTTGGCAGTATGGCAAAGCGATGCATGCATTTGGCAAAGGTGATACCCAGTCAGTTATTTTGTCCCAAGGATCACTTTTCCCAGTGCCAGAAAACACAACAAATCTCAGCGAATGGGGAACACCAAGTAGGCTTTCAGCGAATGCATCAGGATGTCATCACCGTCCCTCTGCTAGAATACAGAGCACGCCGTCTCATTTCCCGAAGGCTGCCAGCTTCCGGGGAAGAAACCGGTTTGGGGAACATCGCAAACACACACCCTGTGCTTCCACAGCATCGAGATCGGATTCTCCACCGAGGGCCAGATCCTGCTCTTAGAGCCCCATTTACTCAGTCAGGTCTTTGAACCACTGTCCTTCTCTTCCCCGATGGTAAATTTGCCTCCTCAGGGAGGTGCTGGCTACCTAGGTAAGCCACACAAGGAGCCAAATGCAAACAAAATCACACAAAAAGGCATCTCTCAGATCCCTCTCTCGGCAGAGGTTAATTCACACCACCGCACGTGAACGCTCTGTAGGTGCGACGGCACACCTGTGCGCGTGTGCGCGCACGCATGTGCACGGAACAGGCAGGATGCACACGGAGGAAGGAGAAAAGGAGAACTGTGTGATATACACACAGCTCCTGCTATAGTACCCCTCTTGTCTTCCGGGCCAGAGCCCCCGCCTGCCACTCGGCCGGGCTGGAGGCAATGTCTGCCCCAGCAGCTCCCAGCCCGGGCTGCTCAGGGCAGTGTGAGTGAGTCATACAGAGAGCACGGATTCCCTAGAGAGGGAGCCCCCTAAACACAAAGCACTTATTAAATATGCAAGTTGTGTGGCAAGCTGAGCCGTCAGCAGGCTACTAATGCTAGTTCTCACTGCACCATCTGCCAGAGACTGGGGCAGCCCACCAACGTCCACAGGAAACCGAGTCCGCGTCTTCCAGAGAGAAGTACGGGTAATGGAAGCAACAGGAACCCAAGCTGACCCTGCCAGCAAGGGAGTACTAGGCCTGCTTTCACTTCCGTCGCAGAGGGAGGACCGCTCACTGGCTTAAGCTGAGGCCCTGGGGCCAGGAGAACATGTTAATGAGGCAAATATGCCAAATGACTTAAGAGCTGTGAACAAGCATGAAATGAAACTCAGTCTTGCTTTGTCAAATTTTCTGCATCGAGGCAGTAAACCTGAGTTAAAACAACCGAGTGGAAAACCATTTGAAAGCAAATCACAGAATCACAGGTGTTTAGAGCAGGGAGGGAACCTGGCCATCACCCAGTTTGAAGTTTATTCACTTTGAGAGACAGAGAGAGACAAAAAGAGAAGGGGAGGGGCAGCGAGAGAAGGAACAGGGAGAGAGAATCCCAGGCAGGCTCTGTGCTGTCAGTGCAGAGCCTGATGCGGGGCTCAATGTCACAAACCGTGAAATCACGACCTGAGCCGAAACCAAGAGCTGGACACTTAACCGACTGAGCCACCCAGGTGCCCCTACAGTCTTGATTTTGAACAGGCGTGGTGGTGACTGAATAAATTTGCCTCCCTGAATCTACAGCACTCCTCCCCAGACACACAGGCATGTCTATATGGAGAGCACATCACATCAGGGTCCAAACTCCAGGGCCCCAGGAGGGATGTCATGACCATGACCATGAAGGATCCAGTAACAGCTCCATATTAGAAAAGAGGAATGACCTCTATTTGCCTGGGCAGGAGACACATTCAGCCCCCAGGCCAAAGGGCCAACGAGATGGCTACAGACACTTGACGTACGCTAGGTCCCAGTCAGGGACGATGAAGGGGCCCCAGGAATTGTAGGTCCAGTCTTCCCATTTCCTTCCAGAGTACTGAGAAGAGCCCACGCTGAGCCGTGACCTGTCTACAGGAGCCTGTGCTCCTGCCCAGCTCAGCTCGGCCTGTCACCAGGGGAACTGGTGGAAACCAGGGGGAGGGGAGGAGACGACAGAGACCCAGGGTCATGTCCACTCCCATCCACCCACAGGACGGAGGCCGCCAATATGCACACAGCACCAGGCCCCCTGCTTGGGGAACAGAAATGCAAGGCACCACCCATGCCGCATTCTCATTAGCACCAAAATAGCAACAACTCTGCCTTTAGACATTTCCAAAAACGTCTAGCAGCCTATGTGGTATTTACCAGATTGTGTCATACAGGTAAGGTGACAATATGCCTGAGCCACTGTGGGAAAGAGGACTGTGGTGTGAAGGGCTGTTTGTAATTGTGGTTAAAATCCTCGGTTTCTAAGGGGCGCCTGGGGTGCTCAGTCGGTTGAGTGTCCGACTCTTGGTTTCAGCCCAGGTCATAATCTCACGGTTTGTGAGATTGAGCCCCGTGTCAGGCTCCATGCTGACAGCACGGAGCTTGCTTGGGATTCTCCCTCTCCCTCTCTCTCTGCCTCTTCCCCTCTCGTGCACGCTCTCTCTCTCTCTCTCAAAATAAGTAAACTTAAAAAAAAAAAAATCCCCAGTTTCTGAAAGCTGGATTAGTGAGTCATCTTACTCTGACTGATTTCTCAACAGGCTCAACATACAGGCCTCAGTTTCTTGCAAGGACTCTTACACACAGGATGACAGAAAAAGGACTTGACGAAGGTTGGACGCCACGTGTTGGATTTCTATAATATTACTGAAGTTTCTCTTCTCTTGGATTTCGACTTCCCAGAGTCCTGACCACTTGAACGCTTTTCCCTTTATGGAGAAGTAGGAAATCTTCCCAAGTAGGAAGTTCAATTTCCAGAGACAAAGACAGCTGGGAAGTGGTGTGCTGTTGGTTTCTGGAAGCGTCTGGCTTCTAAAAAAAATTTTTTTTTTTATGTTTTTATTTATTTTTGCGACAGAGAGAGACAGAGCATGAGCAGGGGAGGGGCAGAGAGAGAGAGGGAGACACAGAATCGGAAGCAGGCTCCAGGCTCTGAGCTGTCAGCACAGAGCCCGATGCGGGGCTCGAACTCACGAACCGTGAGATCATGACCTGAGCCGAAGTCGGACACTTAACTGACTGAGCCACCCAGGCGCCCCTGGAAGCGTCTGGCTTCTAAATGACCTGACGCGTCAGGTATTCCTAACTCTGTCAGGCAGCGAACGACACAAAGCTGTCCCTGGCCAGAGAAGCACAGACAGGGGGCAGGTGCACCGAATCAAGAAGGACCCCAAACAAAACTCTCCCAACAGGAAGGCCTTTAAGAGGCAGGTGCAATGCCGTCCTGGGCATGCGGCTTGTATCACTCTCTCACCTCACTGCAGCAGACCGAGAAGTAAAAGGGAATACTTACGGTGCCGTGGGATATGGTCAGAAAACCGTTTTTAACCGAACACTTCCTTTTCTGCCACACTTTTCGGATCCTGACAGATAAATGGGGGGCAAAAAAAAAAAAAAAAAAAAAAGCAGACTTCAGCAATTTTGGACACGGAAGGGGAACACGCATTCAAACTCCAGCAGCACATTCCGCTTACCCATCGCTCTTCTTGTACAGGCTGCCGTTCCGCTCGGTCCCGTGCTCTTTGTTTCCCTGAGGCTGATGTAAACTATAGGCTGTACTCTGGCGAATTTGTGACTCCTAAAAATGGTCAAGAAGTGGTTTTTAATCCTGTCCGATTCCAAGCTTAAAAAAAGCTGTCCTTAATTTTTTTTTTTTTAATTAGAGACATGTCACCTATCACCACACCAAAAAATGGACAGAAATTCATACCCAGGAATTCATAAACGTCACCTACCAGCCTGGAGAAGGAAATGTCAAACCAGCATCCCCCAACTGGCTGAAAGAAATGAGCCATTTGGAAGTTACAGATTTTGCTTAATTATGAGACTTAAGTCCCCGATAATGGCAAGAAGCTCTTGGTGTGGCAAAAGCAGTCCTCAAGGAGAAAAGTAACCTATGTGTTAGAAAAAGCAGCACTTTTAAGCAAGAAAAAACCCAAAACAAGGTTCTACCCCTGACTTCAGGCAAGTTACTTAAGCTCCCTGCCTCAGTTTGCTCCTTGGGAAATAGGAAAACAATACCCAGCAAAATGGTAAATACAGCAAGGTCTGAGTAAGATGACACGTGTGACCACCTGGTACATAACAGGTATCGAACCATATTCCCTTCCTGACCCATCAACCCAGCAGAGGGGCCAGAGCACTGGACCTAACTGCCTTAGCCTCAGGGTAGACAGGCCACTTGCTCGGCTGAGAATCTGGCTGAGTCTGCCACACCGGGGGACTCCAGTCTTCAGCTTCTTAAGGGCAAGGGCCGTCAATGAAACCCTGGACATCCAATGGGTGCTCAACTATTTGACAGATGGGATCGGAAGCCCCGAGCTGTGAGTGGGAAGGAGCTGTCCAAACTAGCACTGGAAATTCTGGCAGACATAAGGAACCCAGGGGGAGCAAAAGACAAACAGAGTTCACAGGCCAGCTGTTTACTGAGAACCTCCCACCCAGTCCATTTCATGACGGAGGAAATAGAAACACAACGAGAATAAGAGATCTACTTAAGATGCAGAGCTTGTTAGGGCCAGAGAGGAGAATGGAAGGGATTGCCACCTCCCCCTCGAAGCTCTTTCCATAAGCCCTCACCACGAGCCCTCACCCGTCCTGAGACACGAGGGCCATGTCTCATCTCCACCGTCAAGCAGGTGACCATCCTTGGGGAAGCCAAGGCCAAATGATGCCAAACAATGAAGAAACTAATGCATGACAATCAGTGTTATCCAAGCCAAGAATACAAGTGCTCAGGAAGTGAAGAGCCAAAGGAGGAAACCATAGGAGTCTAGAGAGAGTGAGTTTTCAAGATGAAAGCCAGAACAGGCAGAGAATAGGGGAGGGTAGTGGTAGCTGTGGTCATCCTCCATGGAAATTAGAACAACCAATGTAGCTAAGGTAAAGTGGGCCCAGTGGTTGAAGGGACAGACAGGCTTGAGTCAGAGTTCAGACTTTATCTGAAAGCAACAGCAAGCCACCTGGATTCCTGACAGGTCTAACGGTTTTTGAGGCATAACATATTTAAAAATTTGTTGAAAATTATCTATAGTTTCTTTTGTCATTTGTACTTTATTTTTTTTTTTTTCAACGTTTATTTATTTTTGGGACAGAGACAGAGCATGAACGGGGGAGGGGCAGAGAGAGAGGGAGACACAGAATCGGAAACAGGCTCCAGGCTCTGAGCCATCAGCCCAGAGCCCGACGCGGGGCTCGAACTCACGGACCGCGAGATTGTGACCTGGCTGAAGTCGGACGCTTAACCGACTGCGCCACCCAGGCGCCCCTGTCATTTGTACTTTAGATGTCACATCTAAGAAACCATTGGTTGCTCCAAGGTCATGAAGATTTACGCCTATGTTTTCCTCTAAGAGTTTTAGCTCTTAACAGTTAGGTCTTTGATCCAGTTTGAGTTAATTTTTGATTATGGTGTGAGGTAGGGGTCTAAATTCATTCTTTTGCTTGTGGCTATCCAGTTGTCCCATCATCATTTGTGAAAAAAACCATTCTTTTTTCTCTGAATTGTCTTGACTTTCATGTTGAAAAATCAATTAATTGGCCATAAGAGTTAGGGTTTATTTCTGGACTCTTGATTCCATTTCAGTGATCTGTAAATCTATCCTGTGTCAGTCAAACACTGTCTTGATTACTATAGCTTTGTGGGGACTGAAATCAGAAGTGTGAGTCCTCCAACTTCTGTTCTTTTACTGTTTTGGCAATTCTGGGTCCCTTGTGTTTCCTCATGAGTTTCAGAATCAGCTTGTCAATTTCTGCACAAAGGCGGGGGTGGGGGTTGATAAAAATGGCACTGAATCTGCAGACCAATCTGGGGGCTCTGGCTGTCTTAAATGTATTAGATCCACCATTCCATGAACATGGTCTATCTAGCACTGACTTTCTTTTTTTTTTTTTTTAACTGTGAAATACATCTGGGACAACTTTGCAAAAAAAAGAAAAGTAAAAGAAAACCTTGATCTGAGAAGTCAATAATGGGCTCAGGCATCCCATTACTGAATTGACCACAGAGCCTCAACAAGCAGACCGAAAACAGGAGAAACATCCTCATTCTTCATAGGGAGTTCACGCGGCACTCCTGCCTCCAGACAACTGGGGCAAACAACTCATTCATCAGGTGAGGATAGTGCCAGTTTCCACATTCTCTCAAAAGGGCACGATATTAGCACTAGAAATCCAGAGCAAACCCAGCTTTAAGCATCACTGGGAATGAATGCAGGGGAGGAGAAACAGAAGTGTGCTCACCTCTATGAATCTCTGCGCAAGACTAAAAATAAACCTGTCAAAAGACTAAATTGCACAACCAAGAAATACGACTATTGATTTGGGGTGGGAGGAGGGGGGACGGAGCCTGCACAGAGTAAATGGTGGAGTCATGTGATAACACTGCTCAAAGTGTTCGTGCCAAGCATGGTGATCAGAGCCCTCACAGGCCTGAGGCACAGAATAAGGGGCTTCCTCTTTCCAACAGAATTGGACTCTCTACCAGACGTTAAGGAAGAAATTGCCGTTTTTATTCTTTAGACCAGGCATTTCTTGAATCAGTTAAAAAGTGGAGGAAAATCTGAAGCTGCGCAATTTAAAATGTGTACATCGGAGGAATATAATCCATTTGACAGAAAACTGAACCTGCTCTCGCACTAGTTACCTCACCAACTTCAAGGTGACTTGTAGGTGATCCAACAAAACCGGCCCTCCTTCATCTGCTCATTCAGGTCATTTTGTTCACACCTGGTCAAGTGAAGGGGTAACAAATGAAGTCCGCCTTTTCACATAACCAAGACTGCAATTCAATGGAATATAATCCGAGGGAAAAGAGCCTTTACTTCTGGGGAGAAGGAGAATCTAACATAGACAGAGGTGACTGGTGGGGGGCAGGGGTGGGAGAGACTCTTGGAGACTCTCCATCATACTCTGTAGTCTCCCAGAAAGCCAAGGATGCCCTAGGATCTGACTGAGTCTCACCACATGGAGATGTTGTCTAAAGCACATAGGTTAAGTCGGAATTTTATGGACCTTCAAAAGGCTCTCCTAAGATCTGTCAATATGCACATATCCTCTATCCTGCGACATCCAGCCATGTTCTCGGATCCCAGGCACCATCCATGACCTTAAAGTCTGTGTGGCCGTATGAAATATTAGCTATTGGGTCCTGCCAAGGCAGACTGCCCAGGTGAGCAGAAGACTTAGCATTTGAAATGTTCAGGAATAGGGGAAAAAAGAGTGATGATGTTGCATATGTTATACATATAAAAGTTTACTCATTAAATCAGAAGGATCCCCAAGGTCCCTAAGACTCTAGATCATAAAAACATACACACTTTATCTGTCCACCTCTTAGAAATTCTGTATTCAGACAATTCTTGCGATGAATGGATTGCCAAGGGGTCACCCCTGGACACTGAACATTTCTCTACCAAGGGAGAGCTGTAACGTCCACGTATCTCCCAAGTACGTCCAAGTACCTTCTCAGGCTACGACAGGTATGTCCACCAAGTGGACACAACCTGGAGCAAGAGGCTTTGCTAAGTAAGCACTAAGCTGTGGTCTAAGAACAGTGTTTTCGCTGGTCTCAATACTACACATTCCCCATTATTTCTGGATAATTTTTAAAAAGATTCTGTCTGATACAAGGTATTATTAAAGTCATATAACCTAGCTAAAGGGAATACGCTTGCAGTGGAACAGACCGGGCTTCAAATCCTGGCTCTAACACTACTAAGTGGACCCCGGCAAATACACTTTTCCCCTCAGACTGAAGGTGTAAACGTGGACTGTGATACCACCTGCCCGGCCAGGCTCTTGTCTGCATTACTGCTCACAGCTACAAGGTGCCCAGAGAGACCTGTGAAGTGAGGCAAGTAGGAATGGCCAAACCACAGAGCAGACCCCAGGAACAGTGAGGGGTCAGGCAGTCAAGTGCTAGCGAAGGCAGGGAATGGGGGAAGTGGGCGTAGGGGTCAGTCTAGATTGGGGTGTGACGGCTCCTAGGTCAGAGTGGGCAGGGGGCCAGTCATGAAGACAAGATGCCAGATCACAAAGCCGACACTGAGGGCCAAGTGGGCATTAGGATGACCTATCAGAGACAACACCACCAACATCCGTCTGTCACTCTCCAACCACCAGCAGTGGGGAATTAGGTATTTTTTTTGCTCACTATGGTTCCTCAGCACTAGGAACACGGTATTTACTGAATGAATGAACGAGTGCCTGTTTATCAAGACACTGTGTTGAGTGTTTTAGAGAAACTATCCCTTAGATCTCATAACAACTGTGGGAGGTGACAGTATTATTCCTGATTGACTGATGGAGAGACCAAGGCACGGAGAGGTCGGGAACCTTGCTCCATGCCTTCCTGGCAGGAAGCGAAGACCCACGATTCATCTATGCTCTTCTGCTCTGCTAGACAGCTACCCAGGCGAATTTTCCGTCCTGGTCAGAAGCTGGCCCACCTGCCCCACCTGCTGGGACGCTATTAACTCCGAATCATCTTCCAAACCCTCATTCCTGACACACACCCGCCTACCCCACACTAGGGAGACACCCATTCTTGGACTGGCCTCCACTGGAGCCTTCGTCACACTGTACCCCAATGACTTTGTGACCCACTCCCCGATTATGAGCCCCATAAGAGGTGAGAGCTGCATCTATCTTATTCTGTTTGTGCACTGCGGTGCCTAGCTTAACATCACTGCTAAGGAAACGGGAGTCGACCGTGTGACTCAAGGAACGAGTCTTCCACGGAAGGCGCACTGACGGCCAGTGTCAAGCCACCTGGGAGCTTGGCAGGAGAGGCCAGGAAGTGGACACCTGGCCAGAGGGTTGTGACGAAGGCCAGATCCCGGCATAAGAAATGCAAGCCTAGACCAGAAAAGCCAGCGACGGAAGGGAATTATGGCCGTCGTGGGCCTCTGCTCCCTGGACAGTGCATACTATTCAAACACACTCCCACCACACGGGGACACTCGAAAAGGGGGGAGTGTAAAGCTGACATGAAGAGAGACCACAGTTGAGGTATCCAAAGTGGGAAAATCACTATAGCTTCAGCACTCAGGCTCCCAGAGGCTGAGTCCTCCCCGCCGGAGGGACGAGCCTGGGTTCTCGACATCCAACGACTCAGCACCCACAGGCCAACGACGAGGTTCTGGCAGAGAATCTGCGAGCACTGCCATGGACCTGTCCCACAGGACTCCGCGGAGATGGGACGTACATGGGACGGGGAAGCAAAAGGCTGATGCAAAAATCAGCAGTACCGAAGGGCTTTAACTTCAGAGAAGGGATCTCTCCCAAGTGTTAAAACTGTGGTGCGTACATAGGTGCTCACTATACATTTTTTTTTAACTCTTCTGTAAGTCTGAAAAGTTTCATAGTAAGATAGTAGAAAAATCAAACAGTAGAATCTTCTCTACAGAGAGCAGAAATACGAAAAAATAAGCATGTCAGTGATTCGGAGGTGTGGGGGCGCTGGGATCATAATGGCATAGTCTCCTTTCCAAAATGTAGCCACAGGGTGACAAAGAGAAGCAGGCCAGAGCCACCATATGCAAGAGCCATGCTTTTCATTTAAACCAAACGATTAATGTTTGAGATTTACAGGAAGGCAACAGGAGAGGGGCTCCCACCAACCATCAATGCAGTTTCCTTGGGGCATGTTACCTAGTTTTTATGAACTGAAATTATGGAGTAAGAATTTTCATAACATTAAATAAAAACCATAAACACCAGGGCGCCTGGGTGGCTCTGTCAGTTGAGCATCCCGCTCTTGATTTTGGCTCAGGTCATGATCCCAAGGTTGTGGGATGAGCCCATGTTCGGCTCCCCACTGAACATGGCACCTGCTTAAGATTCTCTCTCTCTCCCTCTGCCCCTCCCCCCCTGCTCACACACAATGTCTAAAATAAAAACAACAACAAAAAACCGTCAATGCCTTCAGTTTTCTAAGTCACAGGAAGAATCCCAAGAGAGGGGTTGAGAGCTAAACAGTGCCCAACATTTATTCTTGCTGCAACTGGAAGGATATGAGACAGACCCCCCCCCCCCACCCTGCCCAATCATGAACATTATTTAGAAATATATAAAATTCCACTTCTACACATTTGCTTCTTCCTGGCAACTGTGTCCACAGACCATCCAATCTATGGAATGCAACATCGAAAAGCAAAGCAGAGTGTAATATACAGTACAATACGATCACAAGCAAGCGCCCGGAGAGTTCGATGTTTGGGCAGAAAGCTGAAGACGAGTGGTAGAGAGGGTTCTTATGACCCCTGTGTGCAGCAGGGCAGCTGGGCTGGTCCACAAAAACACACAAACACAACAAACCGTAAAGACTTCTGATCTCCGCTGGCAGACTTGTTACACTTCTCTGTAAAGCTATAAATAGCCAGCTGACAACAGCCGGTTTTCCCAAACCTCCTGATTCCACACAGCCAAAGGAAACACGGCCTTTGCACTGCGCCCAGAGGACCACTCAACTCCAGCATCTGCTCTCCTTCATTGTAAACCTGAGCTTCCCTTCATGGGGCCGATCCTCCTTTCCAGGCAGGAGCAGCTCTGAAGCACTCCCAGCGCCGCACTGGAGGGCCGGCTGCCTCCGCGGCGGTGGGGCTCCCACACCCAGCACCACCCTCTTCCAGTCATGACTGAGCCCGCTCTTCTCCCCACACTCCAAGTTCTTTTGCTCCTTCTTATTCTTCTGCGTGTAGCCCATGTTTGGGAATATCGAAGTGTCAGCATCTATATTCCGCAGACTGGAAGGAAGGGAGGAAGTCACCATCCTGTGGGTAACTTTGAGCACTCTCACGTAACTGCGATCTGCCCATCTCTCACTTAGCTGACCCGCGCTCACCAAGAGCCTAGCGAACGAGCAATATGGTACAACGTGATGGCTGGCGCAGAAGGCGGGAGGGCATCCTCAAGCTGCTCAAGGTCTAGCTAGAGAGAAGAAGCATCTGTGCACTTGAAGACACAGCCAACAACCCCAAAAGAAAATATCATGATTGAAATAACACGAACTCAGATCACTGGGGCTGGGGCGAGCAGAGGGGGTCTCCAGAGACAGGTCTCGGGATGGATGAGAAGGACATGGAGACTTCAGCGAGGCAGTGGCGGGGGGGCAGAGTCACTTCGCGTCCACAAAGGAACAGCAGCAAATGCATAAACCGTAAACTTGGAAATTTTCCATTTCACTAATATTTGTGCATTCAAATTCGTTAGCCTTTAATAAAAACCAGAGAAAGGGTTAAAATGAAAAATACCACTGGCCACTAGCAGATGCGTGGAAGAAACTAATTTTTTAAGTTTATGAAGAAAGCATGCAAAACTCTCCAATTTATGAAAATACTGAACTACTTACTCTCCTAGACTTCGGTCACAAAGGTAAATGCATTTGGGAGAAAAACAACAATATTCAGTTATAGTACAGGAACTTAAAACAGAGCACACGAAACTGCCCACCATGAACATCATGTTCTGAGTAGTTCAACAGTCATTCGTCTAAACGCTACTAGTAATACATTCAGATAACAGTCCTTTATGGACAAGGAAGTGGACAATGTTAAATTTCCCATTATAATATCCACTCTGTAGTAAACATACCATATAATTACCTTAAAAATGTACTTTTTGGTATTTTTTTAAACAAGCCTCCAAAATACAAACTGTCACTGTGAACGTGTCAGCATGCAGAAAAGGGAGTACAGGACAGACATGAGGCCAGAGAAACTGAGGTTTCCTGCTCATCCGAATGCACCTGTAAGAAAATGTAGCTCCCCATGTTTTTCAGGGCACAATCTCAGGGCTGGAGGCCTAGGTGGCCACCTGTTACCTGCTGATGCCCCCGAGGACAGAGTCCACAGACACGGGGGCACGGAAACCACAAAGTTCCAGGTAGAAAATCAACGGCATAAATAGCGAGCGTCTGAGTAATGGAGATGTTAAGAGCTACTCGTGAACAAAAAAGGGTTTAGGAGATGTTAAGAAGCCACACCCACAAAAGGGTTTATATGCTGCTGTGAAGGCCACACCTCCAGTAAATGCCTCCCCCATGAAATAAACACATCTAAAAAGATGGTTTTATAAAACCTAACTCAAAGAACAAACTAAAAGTTCGGTGGTAGCTGACAGAGCCCCAGAGTGACCTGTGAGCATCCTGGAGGATGCTGAAAGTCACATTCTTGACTCCCAAAGCCCCCGCGACACAGGTATAAAAACAGCAGTCTTTCAAAATTAAATCCCCTCACCTCTTTCTGTTCAACCTGCAAGGCTGATTTCAAAATATCGCGAAGCTGTATCAACTGCCTTCTTTCTTCATCCTGGGCCTGCTTGATCTTGAAAAAGCAAAACAAAGTGGAGAGAAGCACGACTGAGGTACAGTGAGGCGCTGGGGCTCATAGGGCATCTCCACATAAGCGCCTCAAATGCACCCCCCTCCGATTACACCCTCTCGCGGCCAAGACAGAGGACGGGAACGGGGGCTTCCATACTCCATGAGGCATCACGAGGCTGTCAGCGTCCGGGTAGCACGGCACGCAAACACAGGGGCATGCAGAAGCAGTGTGGAAGTCAAAGCATGTGCTGCATAAAAACCACTTCAACACTAACGTGGGAGGGAAGCCACTTACTGTGTGAAGGTCTGTTGAAAGTGTCTCAATGGAAGGCTTGAGGCTCTCAACTGCTTTCAGTCCATCCTGGAAAAAACTAAGAGGAAAAAAGAAGAAAGAGGAAACAATGTTGTTAAATGGAGAAAATACTTCTTTAAAGGAAAGTGAGTGAAATCGTTATGTAATTCCTGGGGGGGGGGGAAAGACTGTGGGACCCAAACTTTAAAATGTCAGGCAAACAAAGAAGAAAATCACACTTAAAACTGCACGAAGTGACAGAAAAGGAACGGCAAGAAAGTCTACGTGTTTATCATTGTTCTTGATGCAGAGGAAAGGAGCCCTAAGTTTTCTTTTTTAAAAAAAATTTTTTGGGGCGCCTGGGTGGCGCAGTCGGTTAAGCGCCCGACTTCAGCCAGGTCACCATCTCGCGGTCCGTGAGTTCGAGCCCCGCGTCAGGCTCTGAGCCATCAGCACAGAGCCCGATGCGGGGCTCGAACTCACAGACTGTGAGATCATGACCTGAGCCGAAGTCGGACGCTCAACCGACTGAGCCATGCAGGCGCCCCAAGAGCCCTAAGTTTTCAGTGTATAGCGGGAAGCAGGAACCTCCTGGTAGCAGGCAGTAAGGGCTTTGGCTCAGGAATGGAAGCATGTGAGGTCAGAAAAGCATGGGGTGAAAAGAATAAGACACCGAAGCCTCTTCCTTCACAGTTAACAGCAAGTAGAAAAGAGAATGCAGGGGACGGCCATGCCCCATCTGCAGCGTAGGGGAATGTGGCTGCAGAACTGGACCTCAGATAGAAAAAGGAAACTTTTTGTTTTAAAGCTCAGAACTCCACGTTTGTGAGGTCATTTATAGTAAGTGAGGCAAGAAATGTCACAGAAGGCAGACAAGTTTTCCTGCAGGAACAGTGAGCTGATGCTCACCACTGCCTCCGAAGCATGTTGCGTACCACCCTCTTGAGAGAAATGAAGAAATCGCTTCCCCACAAGCTCAGGACAGAGTTCAAAAGCTGTCATGAGACTGGTAAGCACCCACGTGCTTTGGCTTCCGCCTGTGTCTCCAGGCCCCAAGTAGCACCATTTGCCCCTTCCATTCACTAGATTCCAGACCTACCAGCAGTCTATGGCCAACAGATCCCTCCTGCCTCAGGACCTTTGCATATGCTGCTTCTGCTTTCTAAAAACCTCTCCCTGCGAATATCTTCTGTTTTGCCTGGATTATTCCTACCCATTCTTCAAGTTTTAAGTTAAATATCACTTTGTTAGTGAGGTCTCCATGCTTTAAAAAGAGTCTCCTTGCTATACTCTCTGAGCATTCTGTCTCTTCCTTCAAAACCCTTAGCACAACTACCATTACGTAGTCATTAGTGTGTTTGTTTAAAATACACCCACCCTCCCTTAGATCTGAAGTTCCAGAGGGTAAACACACAGTATCCACAAAGACTCGCACATTTCAAGCATACAGTATTTGCTGAATGAAAAAACAAACTGATGAAGGGAGGAAGGACTCTCCAGCTTTGGCCGGATGACTGGAAGGAGACGATCTTCAAAATGTGATGTGGGTCTCAAATGTGTTCACGTGAGGTGATGGTTATTCCTTCTAAACTCAGCAACGGTCCTGGGGGACTTTCCCTGGTGAAGTATGGAATGGACAGGAGGGGCTATAAAGGCAACGCAGCATGACATTTAATGCGGTAATTCCAAGGGGGAAGGGAGAGGAATATATATGGACGGAATGTGGGTTATGAACCGTTACTAGCCAGGCAGCAGGAATCGCAGAAGCTGTGCTAGAAGCTGTGCTGTTCTCGCCTAAATTTGCACATACAGGCGTAATTCTTTGTCCTATATTCTCATTCCCGTATTTTACCGAAGTCACGTCAGAGTGTTCAGAGGACTGCTCCACGTGTCTGCGTCCACCGTCAGGGCAGAGGGGCCGTGCCTTCCACCCCCTGCCACCACGGCCGGCAAATGACAGGCACTCCTCTAAACTGGAAAGGAAATCAGGAAGCACACACGCAGGAATGGGAAACTGAGCTCCTCCCCTGCTGTCACGAACTCCTCTGGTTCTCATGCTTTGCTCCGGTTACGTTTTTTCTTTATAGAAACTATCTCTTCGATCACTCCAAATTCTTGTGGAATAGGTAGAAAGAGAGGGAGAGAGAGAGGGAGAGAACACCAGGATGAGGAGCCAGAAAAGTATCACAGAAGATGGCATGGAAATGGTCCTGCTCTTGGGGACCCACGAAGGGGAGAGCAGGTACACAGCTCCAAGAATCTCTACGCCTGCAACCGTCCGTGGAGAGGAGAGCCCTGTTGTGGAGGCAAGTACTCAGAACTCAGAGAACTCAGAGTACCCAGAACTCAGAGTACAAAGAACTCAGGGTTTCTTGTCACACATGTCATTTCCAGCATGACCCTGGATGGTGCGCTGGGAGTAACGACACAAACTTGGATTTAAGATGTGGTTCTTATCTTTGTAATCACCCAGCCGATCTTGACCATCTACTTAGAACACCTCCTCCCTCTGACTGCCAAAATCCCTATCTTTCTGTACCCTCCTTTTTGAGGCGTGTTTTGGCACCTCAGTATACCCTCCCAGGCCTCAGGGAAAGTGTCAAAGAAAAGGGCTGTTGCTGCTTCATCACCTGACACCACTGTGACATTCCCTTTCTTTTTTTTAAGATTTTATATTTAAGGAATCTCTACACTCGACGTAGGGTTCAAACTCACAACCCTGAGATTGAGAGTCACTGGCTCCACTGACTGAGTCACACCCCATCACTGTGACGTTTCTAAGTATAAACCCTGGCACATTTTTCTTAGGTTGAATCATCAACACTGGCCCAACCTTCAGTCAAACAACGTTCACCATCAATACCACCAAATATCAATTTTTGTTTGTTTGAATTTTGTTTTTCGTTAAATGGTTTCTACACAGCCTGACCGAACCCTCAAGCCTTTAAAATGCACCTGCCGAGGCTCAGTCTTCAATCTCCCACCAAGCAGGGTGCCCTCCGCCTCTGGCTGTAGCCTTCCCAGCAGCATCCTGCCATCAGGGCCCAGGACTCGCCTGCCCTTTGCGCCCTGGCCCTGCCTCTCAAGGCAGCAAGCTTGTCTGGGGCCCTGGACCTGTGTCTCCCAAGTTCATCAGGCAACAGCTGGTCATGGCGGTTCTCAGCAGAGAATATGCTAAGGGAGACCAGGAAGGAGCTACGAGAACGTGCAGTGTGCAGCCACGTGGTCCTCCGTCCAATGGCCAACTCATTCCAGCCCTGCATTAACCTCCAAAATGTGGATGAGAAAAGTCAAAGCTGTGCAAATGATGGGAAGAGCATGCAGTGCACGCGCGCACACACACACACACACACACACACACACACACACACACACACAGAGGAAGTAATGGAAGATTCATCATTCTCAAAGGTTGCTGAGCTCATGCCCATAAAAGGCCAACTAATTCACTTTTCCACCACTGGTCTGTTGCTACCCAACGGATCAGTTTGGGCAAAATAAAGAGAAAAAAAGGAAATCCCAGAATAGCTCTTCAAAATAAAATATTATCAAGGAAGCGACCCACTTCCTAATCTGTCTCACATAAGGTTACAAGGACAAGTACTGAAGAAGTAATTTGTACGTTAATCACAAGGTTAGGATTTTGAGTCTCTATAAAATAATTCATCTTGGAAATTCTACAAATTAGAAGCCTTTTTCCGTTCTCTGAGACTCTTTCCAAGCTTGGAGCTCTTCCCTTAGCCTACGGAGAATCACACGGCACGTCTTCCTTGGCGGTTTGACCTCGAGTGCACTGGAGACGTGCTGTCACCAAAACCATAGTAAGAAGGCCAAAGCTGTGCCAAGTTCAACAGTGCGATTTCCTACGCCAGGTAAATGCACCACACACTACAAACTGAACAAATGTCACGGCCCCTTTCCTTGAAGTCTACGTGGTTCGGTGGGAGACACACCACAGTATGAAAGATGCCACGCTGGAAATATACAGGAGGTACGTGGGAGTGTCGAGATAATGCAGAAGGAAGAGAAGTAATTCCATCAGGGGAGGACCAGGTGATTTCAAAGTAGCAGTTAGGCTGGAGGTAGGTCTTAAGGATGGACAGAAGCCAGGGGAAAGCACAAAGGCCCAGCAAGACATTCTAGAGAAGAGAGCAGCATGTGCAAAGATACATTAGTGTGGGGCATGGCCTATTTGGGGACAAGCAAGCAGACAGGTGTGGCGATTCAACCTCCAAAGACTTCTCACATCAGTCACGCCCTCCAGGGGCACCGTCCCCAGTCTAGGCCAAGACATCGTCATCTCTGGACTGCGCCGGGACAGGGCTGTGGGCGTAAGTGATCACTCACACCCACTCTTGCTCCTCGTTAAAGCAGAAGTGGAATCGAGAAGCCTTCCCAGAGGTTCCCCATCACCCCTGCTCTCCTCTCCTCGCCTCACACTGTTCCACTGTTTCACAGCCGACCCCCCCCCGCCCCCAAACCGTTACAGACATCATGTGTTTACTATTTGCCCACCTCATTAGAACCGGAGATTCATGAGTAAGAAGTATCACCAGAACCCCAAACAGTGCCCGGCCCATATCGAGCCCGGGAGCTCGGTATCTGCTGAACGAAGCCCCGATTCGAAACTTTCACGAGCTTCCTCCGTACATTTAGGATAAAACCTAAAACCTGTCACAAGCCTCCTAAGGCCGTCCACGTCTCTAGGCTCTTCCATCTGGTTTCATATCCCAATACCTTCCCTTCCCTCATTATGCTTAAGTCACACGAGGCTTCTTCCTGCCTTGAGACCCTGACTTTGCCTGGAATGTTCTTCCTCTACTTCTTACCTTCTTGACCTTTAGATCTCGGAGTCCATGCCTCCTCAAAGAGGCCTGCAGCTAGAGCAAGAAGAATGTGAGTATCTACTATACCCTAGGTACTGTGTCTGGCTGGAGGATACAGCAAGGAATGGGGCGGGGAGGGGGTGCAGAGAAGAAGAAAAACCCAGTCCCTGCCTTCCATCTTCATCTAAATCAGGTCCTTCTACTCTTTCCTAGATTCCAACACTTCAGACACGTTCCAAATGTGCAGCATAAAGCCGTTTGCTGAAGTTCACTCGCCTACTGGATTCGAGCAGGAACGGTGCCCGTGAAGGACAGTATTTCTCTCTAGCATCCAGGACAATGCCAGACACACAGCACATGCTGCGAGTGAGGGATGAGTGAGGGGCTGGGTTACGCCAGGACCGGGGTTTGGGCAGCAGGAACGAAAGTGTGGCGTGATGAGGGCCAGGCTGTGCGGGGCTCACGTGTGGGCCAAGTGGAGTATGGGAGACGACCGCGAACACAGAAGCATCTCCCTCTCTCCCACACTCAGCCTCCTTTGCTCATCGTGGTCACTTGCTTTACGGGATAACTCACACAGGACACTATTTCCTTAATTTAACACACTAATTTCTTTTAAACAACAACAACACGAAACATCTGTGAATCATGCATGAGATCAAACTGGTCTGTCCCTCTGCAAAAAGAGCAAAAATACATACATCTGATGATTACTATAGATTTTTATATTATTTGTATTTTTTATTGAAGAGTCTTACACCACAAAATTCGCCCTTTTCAAGCACACCACTCAGTGGTTTTTGTATATTCACCAAGTTGTGCCATCATTAGCATGGTCTCATTCCAGAACATTTCATTACCCCAAATAGCAGTAATCCCCTACTTTCCCCAAGCCCTGGCAATCAGTCACCTGTAGATCTATTCCCGGCCTTTCAAAGAGATAAAATCATACACAGTGTGGCCTTCTGTGTCTGGCTTCTTTCACTTAGCACATTTCCAAGGTTTACCCGTGGTACAGCGTGTATCCGTACTTCATTTCTTTTACTACTGAGTTTTAAGTGACTGTTTATTTTCCTCAATGCAATACTGTATATCTACCAGAAACTGCCTTAAAGTGAGAAACATTTGAAATGACATCATAACAAAGAAGAAGAACTTACTTGCATTGGGCATGAAAGTATTTGATCAGATTCTGAAGTAAATCCACTCCCTTTTTAATCTTAATTTCATTGACCTTCAGCAGATACTGTTAAAAAAAAAAAAAAAGGGTATGTCATAAGCAGAACAGAAGCTTGTGAGGACAGACCACCTTCTCCACTTCTCTGACATCTTTTACTAGGGGTAGAGCTCATGCCAGATGCTTAATATTTTCTGAAGGCCAGAACTGAACATTTCTCTTAGTTTGGGGCGATATGAATTACCTGATGTCCAGGTAACTAAATGTTTAAGTGCCAAGAACTCCTAGTAGTAAGACACTGTGCCTTAACCTGCTGGAAGAAATTTTCTTCGAGCTGCACAAAGGATGCGGAGGGGTGGAGTGAAAGGGCTCTACCCATCCTGGATGCTTCTGTCCACATCCTCCTGCCCACATCCCTTCTCTGGGCAGGTCGTCAGCTGCAACACTAAGTGCTAGTGTTTAGTATCTGAGACTCCTGTCACTGTGTCTCTGATCTTGGCACTTAAGAAAATGTGACTGTTATAAAAACCAAATTTAAAAATTTTTTTTTAAAAAATGTTCTATTTATTTATTTAGAGAGACACAGAGTATTGAGTAGGGGAGGGGCAGAGAGAGACGGAGACACAGAATCCAAAGCAGCCTCCTGGCTCTGAGCTGCTGTCAGCACAGAGCCCAAAGCGGGGCTCGAGCTCACGAACTGTGAGATCACGACCTGAGCCAAAGTCGGACGCTTAACTGACTGAGCCACCACCAGGCATCCCAAAAACCAAATTTTAAGTTGAAATTACTTAAAGCCACTTTTCACTTTTCATTCATTCAGAAATGACCATTAAAATATCAGGAAGTCCCAGGAATCTACAAAACCAGCATCAGGAAATGCATTCGTTCTTTGCTAACGGTTTACAGAACAAAGACTCCGTAAGTTCTCTATCCCTTCCACAGTGAGGATATGGCATACAGACCCCTGAGAACACGTCATCTCCGAGACTAGATGCTCCCAAAAGAGCGGCCGCCCCTGCTGACCACACAGGCGTCTCGGCCACCAACTGGAAAGCTGACGTTCAGGCCACAGAGCCCAACAGGAGAGGAAGCAGCTTGTAAAGAGTTGACTACAAAATCTCAGTTTCCTACACCAACCTCCTGCATATCTTCCCCTTCTTTCAGTCTCATATTTATTCGCTGTTAACAAAATAAGATGTTTGGCAATGGATCGAAATGGTTAAGTGGTTAATAAGATGCTTGGCAATGTGTCAAAATATAAAACGTGCGCCTTTTTGGTATAGATATTCCACTTACGGGAACTTTTTCTAAGATAATCATAAAAGTTTATGAACATGAATAGAAAACAAGGTTCACTGCAGATTTGCTTATAAAAGTAACAAACGGCAACCCGAATGTAATGAATGGAAAATTAAAGTATGGTGCAGCCACACACAAAAATTGCTACGTAGCCAGGAAGCTAATAAAGCAGAGACTTTCTGACATGGAAAGATGCCCATGACATACTGGTGACTCAAAATAATCAGGATACAAAGCACCAGTAGAAAATGATCCCGCTTATACAAATTATTTTTATGAATGGACACAGAGATATATGAAAGACGTTTAGCTCAATATCAAAGTACTTATCTTTTGGGGTGATTTTTTTTTTATATTGAATACATTATTTTTAATTTTATTTTTTAAATTTACATCCAAATTAGTTAGCATATAGTGCAATAATTTCAGCAGTAGATTCCTTAATGCCCCTTACCCATCTAGACCATCCCCCTCCCACAACCCCTCCAGTAACCCTCTGCTTGCTCTCCATATTTAAGAGTCTCTTATGTTTGTCCCCCTCCCTGTTTATATATTATTTTTGTTTCCCTTCCCTTAGTTCATCTGTTTTGTACCTTAAAGTCTTCATATGAGTGAAGTCATATACTTGTCTTTCTCTAATTTCACTCAGCATAATACCCTCCAGTTCCATCCACGTAGTTGCAAATGCCAAGATTTCATTTTTTTTTTGATTGTCGAGTAATACTCCATTATATATATACAAGTTGATTTTTAATTTCATATATACAGACTAACTTTTAAAAGTGTATTTTTTTTCTTTTAATTTGAGAGAGAGAGAGTATGCATGCATGCACAAGCAGGGAAGGGGCAGACGGAGAGAGAATCTCAAGCAGACTCCAGGTTCAGCCCAGGATCCAATGTGGGGCTTGACCCCACAACCCTGGGATTATGACCTGAGCCAAAATCAAGTATTGTACTTTTCAACCGACTGAGCCACCCAGATACCCCAAGAGTGCATATTTTTATAATCAAAGAAAAACAAGACGGGATCTCTCCTACATTTTCCATTCATGCGTGCTCTACATCACCTATTTATGGCACACTGAATTTCTCTATAAAATTCATTTTGAAAAAAAAGTTACAGAGTTTTATTTTTTAATATTCTTTTAAATTTTTTTATTCTTTATTACTTTTGAGAGAGAGAGAGAGACAGACAGACAGACTGAGAGCAAGCAGGGAAGGGGCAGAGAGAGAGAGGGAGACACAGAATCGGAAGCAGGCTCCAGGCTCTGAGCGCTCAGGACAGAGCCCGACGTGGGGCTGGAACTCACAGACTGTGAGTGAGATCATGACCTGAGCTATAGTCGGCCGCCCAACCGACTAAGCCACCCAGGCGCCCCAACGGAGCTTTAAAATAAACACCTACAAGCCAGTCTTCAAGATTAGATCTTGGGCAACTAAAATTTTAAACCCCTAAACAACGGCAGACATTTACAAACTTGAGGTCCTCAGTATGAGGAACCAGTTGAACAATTTTACCACCAGTAACTTCAGCATCTCCCTTGGAGATGTTGGATTCCGGGGGGAATGCTTTTCAGACATTCTTTCTTCCCCACAGAGAGCCCTTTCCAGCCCACTTCTGTTTGGCCCACATCTACTTCTTTCATCGGATGCGTCCTCTTCTGGAAACCCCACCTCTGCCTCTGTACGTGCACACAGTGCCTGCCTCCGCTAACGGCCGGATCCACTAGGCTCGGCACACACAGGGGCCTGCGGCACACACAGGGGCCTGCAGCCCACCCAGGGGTCGGCTCGGAAGGTGGCTCCTTTGTACAACTGAGAGGCGTCATTGACACAGCACATTTCCAATCAAATAAACTATTCTACCAATGCACACGATCCATTCACTGAACCCCAGAAGAGGAAAAGCAACAGTGTGGGGTGCCTACCTCAGAAAGCAATGCAGTGCCCCCAATAGTAACAGACTAATGGAGTTTCACAATTCACTAAACATTCTTTTTTTTTTTTTTTTTTTTTTTTTTTTTTTTTTTTTTAACGTTTATTTACTTTTGAGACAGAGAGAGACAGAGCATGAACAGGGGAGGGGCAGAGAGAGAGGGAGACACAGAATCCGAAAAGCAGGCTCTAGGCTCTGAGCCATCAGCCCAGAGCCCGACGCGGGGCTCGAACTCGCGGACCGTGAGATCGTGACCTGGGCTGAAGTCGGATGCTTAACCGACTGAGCCACCCAGGCACCCCTAAACATTCTTAAACAAGCAGTCTTTTGCAGAGTTTAGGCAAATGTATTTTCTCCTTACTGCAGCTGAAAAAAAAAAAGAGCATAACCCAAACACACATATATACATACCTGTTCCAAATCCATTCTTTGTAAAACACTGCTACTTAATTTTACCCCAATTAAATAAAAACAATACCTAGTATTTGTGTACCACACAGCAATTTCCTATGCCAGTCTCATATCCTCTGGGCTGATTCCTTCAACACCGTGAGAAATTGGCCAGGCAGGCATTGTTATGTACGAGGTCTGTTTATAAAACAACATGTATCTAAAAACATCCACTCTCCTATCTACAGTAAGACTTTGAGCTTAGCTGACTTTCTAAATATTCACTTAATGGAAAAAAAAAGTAGCAAAGGAAGAACAAAAGAACAAAGAAGACATGAGACATAAAACAACAAAAAAAGTAAGACAGTAGACATAAATCCAACCACATCAATAGCAACATCAATGTGAAAGGATTAAACAATCCCATCAAAAGGCAGAGAGTGTCAGACTGGATTTAAAACATGCTGTCTACAGGAAACACACTTTAGATTCACACATACACTACAGGTTGAAAAAAAAACCCCATGCAAACAGAAGCTACGAGAGCTGGAGCAGCCGTACTAATATCAGACTAGTATCACCTCCTTGATCCCGGGACTGATTCTCCTCCACTGAGCACTTAGGAGATCGCTCTGGGAATAAAAACGCGTGTAAGCATACTCCTAAGATGCACTTGTCTAAAAGCTGAACGCCTGCTGCAATTAACATTCTGAAATCAACAAGCGCCTGTGCAACAGCCCTGCGGTTGACTGCTCCGTTGACTGCTCGCAGGGAATCGAGAGCAAGGCTGAGTTAGCGACAGTGCCTGTCACAAACGGTACCCGTGCACTGTGCACACTTAAAACTCAGGTCTGCACCTGCTACGGCACAGACCCCATCGAGTACACGGGCTTCCCCGGAACCGCCAGGAGAGCAAACACTCAGGCAGAGGCAGGAGTGGTTTCCACAGGCCGTTTTTACAGAGAGACCCACAAGCAAGGCATAAAAAGGCATAAAAAGGCTGGAGGCAAAGGCCTTCAGGATTGGTTTCTATTATTTTCCAAGCCTCTGCCAGGGAATGTCCCAGAGTGTCAGCACTGTTTCCCTCTCCCTCTCCAGAGGCAAGGGCTCAGGCTGCAGACAGGCACTCCCCAGGGCCTCCCACCTCGATGAGTGGACCTGGGAGGAAGCACTTCAGAGGCAGGTGGCTTGGCTCCCCGGATGCCCTCTGTCACTCATGCCCGTGTGCACCCAGACCCACAAGGGGACCAGCTGCATTTTTTTCCAGCTGACTTCTCCCTGGCTTCCTCATGGATTCCACTGGTATAATGAGAGCCCACATACCTCATTAAAAAACACTAATGGAGGGAGTACTTTAGCGACGCTCCATGTGAGAGGGAAGTCTGAGTATGTATTTGAGGCCAGAGAGGACATTTCTTTAAATTTAGTTTCTTTCCTACCTTTTTTTTTTTTTTTTAAGTTTATTTTATTTATTCTGAGAGAGAGGGAGAGAGAGAAAGGGAGGGAGGGAGGAAATCCCAAGCACTGAGCCCGAAGCAGGGCTCAAACTCATGAACCAGGAGATCATGACCCGAGCCGAAGTCAAGAGTCAGTCGCTTGCTTAACTGACTGAGCCACGCAGGCGCCCCTCTTCCCTACCTTCAATTAGTGGTTGGGGTTGGATTCAACTCATCCCACACTCCAGGAGACTCAGGCTCCCCCAGTAAGAGAAATTGGACAAATGGAGTCCAATCATGCCCCGGTGTGCTGTCTGAAGCCTCTGGAAGTGTGCATTCTCCACAGGAGTTGACACACGGTAAAGACCGGCTGCAAGACAGCACCCACCACCCCCCCCAGCTGGCTGCCTGTCCCCCGCAGGAACCTGCACCCCCAGCTCTCACCTCGCACATCTGGAGCTGGAAAAGCCGCCTCTCCTTCTCCATCTCTTCGGCGATTTCAGCCCCACTGATCTCGGTGCGAATCATCCCATGCAGCTTGGCATGCTCCTTCTTCTCCTTTTCAATTTTGGTGCTGCAGGTGAAAAAAGCAAGGATAATTTGAGATGCCACCTGGCACGGCAGTCCAAACCAGACCAGACGGGCCTGCGGGGATCCCGTTACCCAGCCTGCGAGACAAACGTGCATGAGTCTTCTAGAAACAAGACGGCCTCTTAACTCACCGGAATGGAAAATGCGTGTGGTTATAAGAATGTCACACTTGGCCTTTTTTGGGTACTGACTCAAAATATACTTTCCTAAGCACCTACTTCATGCCAGATCTGGGTCAGAAGAGGTAAGAGAGCCTGCTTACACCTCAGAGGCTTCCTTCAGGGCAGCGTTCTGTTTGTCCGTCCGTCCGTGTGTCTGTCGGTGTGCCCGCTGAGCCACACACAGGGTGCTATGTGGCGGGAGACTCCCTCCCTCCTGGGATTTCTCCCTGCTGCTCTCAACCCGCCTCCTCGCTGAGTGAGGTCTTGCCGGGGCTCTGCCTCGGACAGCGCTCAACTCGGACAGCGCTCTCTGTCGCAGAACAACCCTCACACGTAAATGGTTAAAGAGTTACTTTTAAAAACTATCTTAGAATTATTTCAAGCTCTCACATTCTCAAATCCTGGGATTTTGTGAGTAATTCTGTCCCCACTCCATGTACGTATGTCCTGATTTTGATCTCATTCCCCTTTCAAACCTTTCCCTTTCAGAACCACAAGAGCCTCTCAGGCTACCTGCTTCAAAATCCCCCTCCATGCCCCTGGTTCAGAAATGCCCAGAAGCGTCTCCTCTGAGAGGCCTGAGGGCGGCCCCAACAGCAGCTGAATGGAAATCCACCTCTGGCCGTGACCCGATGACTCTGGCAGACTGGCAACAAACCAGCGAGTTTTGGCTTCCTGTCTACACAGGAGGCCTGGTGAGCCTCTCCCTGTCGAGTGCACAGCACTGGTCAGCGGAGGAAGGAGGCTCAGGGCAGGGACAGCAAGCCTGGAGCTTCTCCGGGATGAACAGAGCTTCACGTGCTCTAGGTTATTCCATTAGTAAAATCCAGAATTTGGGGATCCGAGCAACTTGGAGAAATTTTGGTGTAGAAATTTAAGATTTCCAGGAAGGGACAAGTATCAGAGGTTTGGTATTCCCTGGTTTGAGCTTTGTGATCCTTCTCCACTGAACAGATACCCGGGGCTGGTTTTAAAAACAACACACACACACACACACACACACACACACACACACACACACACACAAAACCCCAAGTCCAATTAAATACTTGTAGTGACATCTGGAACAGCTTTCTTCTTAACACCTCTCACTTTGCCAGATGGCTTCATGTTAAAGTCTCTCTCTCCACTCAGAAAACTACATTGTTACCCAATGCGCAGTCATTACACAGCAAACATGAGACATTTCAAAACATGTTCTCTCTCTCAAGTATTTACAGTAATTAAAACCACTATCTCTGCAATCAGCAGCCCAATTCTAGTGAGCGAGCGGGATTGTCTCCATGCTGGGAAGGAGCAACCGTGACCAGGAGTGATGGCTGGAGCCAACCCGAGAGGTCCTGTCTTCAGGGGGGACCGTGGTGCACATCCAAGAATGAGCTGACCCTTTTCTTCGCGTTCTCGCAGCAGATGAAGCCATCAAATAAGGCTAGCGTGGGGAGTTCCAACAAGCTCCTTTCTCTCTCTCTTTCTAAACCAAGGGACTGGTGCTTTGGAGAAATACAGACACAAAGCTAAAAGCAGATGGCTCATGCAGATCGCCAGCAAGATGAAGTCTGAAATCGGGCAACTGTCATAAACGGTGATCAAGTAGAGAAAGTGTTTTTTTTTTTAAAAAAAAGGAAAAAAAAAACACCTCCCAAGAAAACCTGGCCTTATCCTTCAATCAGCTTTCCTGAAAATAACCCTCTACACCCGTGATGACATAACAGAAAAGGGACCAGGAACAACTTGTTTGAAGAGGTCCAGGGCGTCGCTGAATTTAGACACCGAGTATGGAAGCATCTGGCACAAACCACAGCAAGACGGGTTTAAGGGAATTCGTCCCTGGGTTAAGGTTTATTTAAGAAAATACCTTTAAGCTATTAAAAGCTCAGTTTAAAGTTAAAATCTCAAATTACCTACTAAAAAATGGCAACACTCACATTTTTGTTTCATAGTCCTTCCAAGCTTTATCAAAAGGCTTTTTCAGATCCTGCAAACAGAGAGGCATAAATTAAACAGAACTAGTGTTAACTTCCGGGCAAGACAACTTACTTATTCCTAGACTGGCCCCGAAAGGAACATTAATTTCTGTAACAAATGACGCATGCAATCCCAGGGAAAAGAAAGAGCATGAAAAAAGCACAGGCTTTTAACCAGATGAGCAGACATGCCAAATGCACGGAGAACAAGCAAGAATCCCATCGCACACCCGCTCCCCACTGGCGTATTAACTCATGGCCTGTGGTGTTTGACCCACACCCTGCCCTCTGCCTTAGGACTGCTCTAAAATTAAACCCAGAAAAACATTTAATCTGCAAGTATTTTAGTACCTCTCCCTACAAAAAAAAAAAAAAAAAAAAAAAAGGCAGGGGGGGGACTCTGACTTTTTCTACGACCAGGAGAGATGTAACCCTGATTTGGGCCCCAACAAGGATATAAAAGCCATTCACCTTCTCCTGAGGTTTTTGTAGAGAGAGGTACTGAAATACTAAAACACAAGAGAAGGTGAATGGCTTTTATATCCTTGTTGTAGGGGCCCAAATCAGGGTTACATCTTTCCTGTTCATAGAAAAGTCGGAACCCCCCCCCCCCACCTTTTTTTTTTCCTACTCTTGCGTCTGGCACTTAGGACCTCGGACGCTGATAAAGCCAGTCTCAAAAGCACACTGAGCCACTAGAAATGCTACCAAATGGCTCCCACCTACTTATGCTCCCTTTCCCCAGGGTTCCTTTGTAAGAAAGGACCTCCTTTTGGGGGAAGGGACTTATTTTTTCTCTTTTGACTATTCACTGTCCTCATGACAAGGCCAAGGCTCCTCGCCTGGCATCCGAGGCCTTCCAGGAACTAGTCCTTCCCATCGGGGAAGCCTCGTCTCCTGCTCCTGCACCTCCCCGGACAAAAGCCACATCAAAAGCCTCAGGAGCAGGGCCCTGTCGTGCTCCCACGCCTGTACACACGTGTCCCTCTGCCCTCCCATCCTGCTGACTCGGCTGGCGTGTTATTTTAGGACCCAGGGTCGGTCCAGGACAACGAGGAATGTTCCCCGGGTCCTCCCGGCTCACCAGGCCCAGGGCTCCCGCTGCCCCAACAGCCCGCCTGCGCTTCCAATGTGCCAGACGTGACTGGGAATCAAGTGCAGATCCAGTCAAAGAATCTCATCTCCTAAGAACTGGGGCACAATCATCTGTTTTTCATACGACACATCTGTTTGTGCCAGGGACACGCTCAGCGTCTGGTATAGATGCCACTCGAGCCGAATGTTCCTCACTCACATGCTCACGGAACAGTTCACACCTGAGGTCTCTCTTCCCGAACAAGGAACATCCTTTGGAGGACAGAAAGATCAAGTCGGCTCAAGCCGTCCTGGGCCAGATTTTCCTACCGGGAAACCACATCCTGGCCAGGACCTTTCTCCCAGCGGTCAACCAGACTTCCCCGCACGGGTTTCCCTGCTCAGCTGACAGAGCCCCAAACCGTTCACAGGTTCCCAAAGGGCTGTTCTCTCCCTTCACGCCCCCCTTGCCATCCCACGTTTAGAGCACCAGCAGGAGGACCGGAAAGGCCATGGGTCACCCCTGGTGTGGCTGAAAGGTGGTGGCAAGGTAGCAAATCAAGGGAAACTGACGGAGCAGGATGCCGTCCCGCCATCCCAGTAAGAACACCGCTGCCCCAACAGGCTGGCGTGACTGCGGTTCTCGGTTCCACGGGGAGCGGGAATCAGGGTCGTTAAGGACATACCCCTTTCACGCCTTTCAGGTCCCCCTTCAGCAGACTGTCCAGAGGGAAGGAGATGATGTTGTTCATATTCTGAATCTAAAAAGCAAGCACACAAAATTCTTATTCGATTTCCTTTTTTTTTTTTAATTTTTAAGTTTATTTACGTATTTATTTAGAGAGAGATAGAAGAAGCACGAGGAGGGGAGGGAAGACAGAGAGAGAGGCAGAGAGAGGGGGAGAGAAAGAACACCAAGCAGGCCCCTTGCTGTCACTGAGAAGCCCGACGCGGGGCTGGATCTCATGAACCGTGAGATCATGACTTGAGCTGATAACCAAGAGTCGGACGCTCAACGTATTTCCTTTTTAATCTGAAGTAAGAACAGCAGGATGTTCAAGAACACCTGGTAAGAATTAACCTTCACCAAAAACCTGGCCAGCACGTGCATGACCGCTTTACCCATTCCTACGTTCTTCGTGGCGATTTCATTTTACAAATAAAACTGTAACAAGTCTATTTTTCACAACAGCCTTCTACTACTAAAGTATGAAGTTTGTGGAAAGATAATTATTACAGTGAAGACAAATTATTTCAAAACAACCAATGACAGAATCACTTTAAAGATACCAGAACAGAGGGGTGTCTGGGTGGCTCAGTCAGTTACGTATCCGACTTCGGCTCAGGTCACGATCTCCCCGTTTGTGAGTTCAAGACCCGCATTGGGCTCTGTGCTGACAGCTCAGAGCCTGGAACTCCTTCAGATTCTGTGTCTCCGTCTCTCTCTGCCCCTCCCTCACTTGCGGTCTGTCTCTCAAAAATAAACAAACGTTAAAAAATAAAATTAAAAAAAAAGATACTAGAACAGAATCACAAACACTTCCTGCTATCGCTCGTGGCTCTTAGCTCCTGGGCTATGGCTTACTCAAGTCTCAGGCTCACAGACCACAGCATCCCCACGGTGGCCCCCCACAGGGAAAATCAGAATGAAAAAGAGAACGACAGGGGTGCTTCTGTCTTTTTGTGAATGTGTAGGAGTCAATGTTCAGAGAGAGGAAAAGGAACGAGTGTGTGTTTGTGGTGTGTATGAGGTGTGGGGCGCATGTGGGATGTGTGGTGTGCATGTGTACAATGTGAATGCGTGTGTGTGAAAGCGTGTGTATGTGTTCCTAGTGTGTGTGCATGTGGCTTTATGTGGTGCATGCACGTGTGTATACAGCGTGTGTGGGTGTGTGTATGTGGGATGTGTGAGATGTGTGTATACGTATATAGTGTCTGTACGTGGGGGGGGTGTGCGTGCATATGTGTATATAGTGTGTGTGCGTGTGTGGTGTGTGTGTATGTGTATTTCTGTGTGTGTATTTATCTGGAGATAAATGAGAAAAGCAGGGAGAGAGGTTTTGAGATCCTCTGTTCCCTTCCCTGAAGCACAAAAAAAAGAGACAGTGACTTAGCAGGTTGTCACCATGGATTAAACCGACCAGAATCAAACCCTCCCAGCACACTCGAGCACGCGCACACACAGCCAGCAAGGCTGTCCCCGCCGGCTTCAAATGTGAGGGAGCAAAGACACGACGCTTCGGTTAGGAACGTTCAGGCACAGACTCCCTGTGTTCTGGACCCTACAGAGTCCCTCCCCGGCAACAAGCTGAAGACCTGCTTTCTCCTCTCCCCGGGCTCAGGCCACTGCCTTCAGTCAACACAATACGGGTCACTTGGGGATACACACACCTAGGTTATGGGCCTATAAAAAATGAGACACAAGTAAGGACTTTGGAACCATATGCATTTACTCTTACACCTGAGCAGAGGAAACTTTTAATTTTAGTAGAATTACCTGGAATAGGAAGACCAACTATAGGCATAATTTTTAAGGCGATACAGGATCTGATTTTCATACACTACTCGGCCCACGAAACTTCAAATCAGAGGGAAGAAATTTACTTGAAAGCTACTGGTAAGGGGCGTGATAATGCACTGAACTGCCAATCTGCCAAATAAACGATCAACTAATGGCTGTCGTTTCAGAAATGCCTCTTTGGGGTAACTTTTGTCCAAGGCTTACACAACTCTGTGTCACACACCCGACGCTTTTCCGGGGTACGGTGTAATCAGCTATGAGTGGCGAGGATTAGCCTTAAGTTAGATGTTCGAACGCCGAGACGCTGAGCTGGAGGCGAGGTGTGAGGATGACTGGACTGAACGAGGACAGACAAAAGGCCGTGCCGGTGAGTCAGCTGATGGCACGCACACCTGGTTTCCACCGTGGCAGGAGTAAACATGAGTGCAGGGCGTGGGGCTGCCCCACGCCTGTCTCCTTCCACATCTTCCACGTCTGCGGGCACCCACGTGCGGCCACGCCAGCTGCCACCCCACGCCGGCCCTGCCCGCAGCGGCGGGTCCCTCACACTGGGATCTCCTCCGCTCCACCTTTCAGACCAGCTGCTCGCCCGCGGACTCCCTGCGCGCCATTCTCGCCACCATGTTTTCCGGACCGAGGCAAAGGCTTCCCCTGCTCCTGGCCACCAGCCCCTGGTCTCCGCCTGCCCCGCCCCCTCCTCCTCCGCAGTTCTGTCAGAGTCAGCTGGTGTGGTGCCCCTCACCCCTGCCCTCGGGACCCTCCACGGTCCAAGCCCCTTCGCCACTTTTCATCTTCGTATCCAGCCAAGCAGAAGCCTTGGCTGTTCTCTGCTCGTGCTCAATCTGTTCCACCGTCTTCCCGCAGCCCCCTGTCCAAAGCCTTCCCCTCCATCAGGCTCCCTGCAGATGCTACCTTCCCCGTGAACATCCCCCAGCCGCCAGCAGGAAGTGATCCCTCCCTCCCAAATCCTCCAACATTCTCTTTTTAAAGAATTTCTTCAGGTCCTTGACGGGTTCTACCCTGCTTCATCTCATCAGTCTGACCCCGTACGTCCGAAAGGACGACTTTCAGTGTCCTTCATGCTATATTCTCCACGGCACCTAGTGCCGGGCCTGACCCGGAGCAGGTGCTTGAGAAACACGGATTGAGTAAATCAATATCTGTAAGCATTTTTCTGAGCATCTAATACAGAAGAGACAGAATCCAGAGATACATTAATATCTTTAAGCCAAACATCATACAACAAATGCGTATGTGAATTAACTAGTCCATTCGTTGCGTATTTATTCAGCACGTATTTGTAGACAGCAACTAGCTGGCTACAAAGATACACAGAACACAACGTTTGCCATCTCAGAGGGAGAATAAATATATACACAGCAAGTTTTAAACAGAGAAAGTCTAAGACATACCCAAGACATACTTGGGAAGGAGGTGACTGTCCCAGTTGCTGAGTCTTGAGACACTGCCCTTTCAGCGACATGATCACACAGAGCCATGGCTAACAGTCAGAGGCACAGGTCAATTTGGCCCTGAACACCATCTAGAGACGAACCAACATGGCATCATCTTGGACAAGGCAACTGCGAGACAGGGGCCGCAAAAACAGCCCAAAGCGGGGCATCAGAGCCGCCCAGGGCGAGAGGCTGAGCCAAAGGCACCAGCACAACTCAATTTTATAGTGGGTTGGAGAACAAGGTAGTTACAGATTAAAAATCTTATTTCCAGAAAGAAGCCTAGTGCATTTGTTACAGGAGGCATGTGTAAGCATGAATGCACACATGAAGTGAGTGAGGAAAACAAGATCCTCTACAGTGGCGGGGACAGAACACCACACAATTTGGTTTATAAATCTATTTTGAGACTATTTGTTATTTAATTCAAATAAGAATGTAGGTACTGACACACAGGTATTAGGGCCAGAAGAGGTTAACTAAGCTTTGGCATCTAGAGTGAAACTGTCAACTTGAGGAGTGAAAACTTTTGGAGATCTAAACACACTGACCAGCCTGCTTTCATTCTAGATACTGCAGATGGGGCCCATAGCCTAGCAGTGACCAGGACATTAAAGAGCCCCTACAGCTGCCAAGGAGATGCACAGGGTCCTTAGGGAGTGACAGGAGAGGAAGCTAAAGAGGCACAGAGGGGTTAGCAGCAAAGATGGGTTAGACAGAGCCTCAGTCCCCAGGAATGCACCATTTAATAGGAGGGACAAAGCCCATAATTAAGTAAGCAAACTGCCATATGGCTCTCAAGAGCCATAAATAAAGCACCACAGAATTTCCAAGAAAAGAAAATTACTACTGGTCTGGACACCAGGGAAATCTTCGCTGATCAGGGGTTATGTGAGGCGGGCCTTTAAAAGAGGGAGAATTTCATCCTGCAAGACGGAGTAGAGGGTATCCCAGGCAAGAAGCAGTGTGGACAAGCGAGCAAAGGCACACCCCAGCACGTGAGCAGAGAGAGGAGCAGGGAAGACGATGCCGAAAAGAGAAGGCTGGACGCCAGATTGACTGAGGAAGTTCTGGCCTTCGTTCCAGGTGATTTTTCTTTCTGGAATTACTCAAATGATCTAAAGTAAGAAACTATTACTTTTCTAATCAGAAAATCATTAGCTTAATTATTATAAAAGAAACAAAGTAGATTAGTGGCTGCCTGGGGCTGGGTGTTAACTGTAAGAGAACACGAGGGGCTGACCTTACTGGGGGCAGAAAACGTCTCCAGGCTGATTGACGGTCATGGCTATGCCACTTGGTAAAATGACTAGAAATCACTTACTCGTATACTTGAAATAGGTGAAGTTTATGAGATGTGAAATACACTTCAATAAAGCCATATTTTAAAAGAAACATACAGGGGTGCCTAGGTGGCTCAGTCGGTTAAGCGTCCGACTCTATATTTTGGCTTAGGTCATGATCTCACAGTTCATGAATTCAAGCCCCGCACGGGGCTCCACATGGTAGTGTGGAGCCTGCTTGGGATTCGCTCTCTCTCCCTCTCTCCCCGCCCCTCCCCCACTTGCTCGCTCTCCTCTCTCTCTCTCTCTCTCTCGAAATAAATAAAAATAAACTTAAAAAAAAAA